TTTGATATATGTGTGATTCTCAATTCAGAAAGTCACATGGCAACAGTGAATTCACTGATTTACCTTACAGTCAGCATAGCATGCCCTTATTTTGTGGGTATATGCAGATGGATTGTCATCAACGACGAAAGTGTAATGGTTACTTAGATCAGATACAGGCTATTAACCAAGAAGCCATTGATTGGGTCCACAAGATGAATCCTGAGGACTGGGCCCTTGCATATGACGGTGGATATCGCTGGGGGGTATTGACCAGTAATGATGCAGAGTGCTTCAACAGCGTCTTGAAAGGTGCAAGGAACTTACCTATTTCAGCTATGGTGGAATTCACATTTCGACGACTCGTCAAATATTTTGACGAGATGGGAGCCCAAGTTGAAACAGATGTACGCAATGACTTCCAATACCCTAGAGAGATGCAAAGAACTATGGAGGAGGGTATCGCAAGGGGAAATACTTTCAAGTTGATATCGTATGACAGGTTAGTTTGTAATGTGAAAAAATTGTTATTATTATGTTGTTAAGTTAATTACATCTAAAAACATGAACTTGATTAGTTTGTTTCAATATTATCTTATAGGCCCCGCCGTGTATTTGAGGTGCAAACATCTTTTCGCTGTGGATGAGGTCGCAATAGACAGATTGTGCGGATGAATCAACCCACGTGCAGTTGTGGGAAATATGAGATAAGACACTATCCATGTTCTCATATGCTCGCTGTAATGTCTGAATGCGGTGACAATCCATTCCAGTACGTTGATCCAGTGTACAGGCTTCCTGTATACATGAGGGTTTGGGAAACTAAATTCAACCCAATACCGCATGAAGATTATTGGGATGATCCGCAGTGGACCTTAATGCCTAATGACCTTCGTCTGCGAGAAGTAAAACAGGGTCGTACATCTATAGCTCGTATTCCGAATGAGATGGATATATCAGACAGGCGTTTGACAGCTCGTTGCAATGAGTGCCACCAGACAGGTCATGACAGGCGAACATGTCCGGCACGACTTGGTCGATGAAGACTATGTAATATTTACATGTAATATATCATTTTCAAATTCTTCATTTGTAATAGATCATTTAATTATGTATTTTTAAATTCTTTATTTGTAAACGAGGTCGTACATTTGAAGTGTGTATTACAAAATGTGTACTTGAGTCAAAAATGTGTAATGCAAAATTGAAAATGTGTACAATTTATTCAAACTTTTATAATTTATTGAGAATGTGTACTAGTTTTTCACGGAGTACTTGATTCGAAATGTGTATTACAATATTCTATACTTAATCACGTAGTTCTTCTACCATTTCAAAATTTCATATTTTTGAATAAATTAAATATCGAATGCTGCAATCCTTGTTCATATTTTATAATTTAAAAAATTTAACTATTATAAATTAAAATTTTAAAAATTGGAATGCTGCGGTCATTGTTCACAATTACAAAATTTTATATGTACACGTAGTTCTTCTACCATTTCAAAATTTCATATTTTTGAATAAATTAAATATCGAATGTTGCAATCATTGTTCACATTTTATAATTTAAAAAATTTACAAATTTAAAAAAAATTAACCTATTATAAATTAAAATTTTAAAAATTGGAATGCTGCGGTCATTGTTCACAATTACAAAATTTTATATGTATTTTGCAAAATTTATAATTTATTCAAACTTTTAGCATTACAAAATAAATATTTCAGTTTTGTCAAATATGCCATAAATGTAATCATTAATTTCGAATTGCTTCCATGTAAGTGGCACATAAATTTGTCTTTTTCTCGAACCCATAACATTTACTTCATTGTATTTTACATCGTTCAGTACAAAATCAATAATTACAGTTTTCTCTGTTATTATGTTATGATTAAATGAGCTTTTGATATGGATCAATAATTTTAGTTGTACAGGCTTCATGGCACATGTACCTGAAAAGGTTCCACTGTTCAAACAGGCATATCGGGCTGACAGTATGTGGGACCGTCCGGTATGCAATAACGTTTGTTGCACTTTACGGCTACAATTAAAATACATTGCATTTTGTTGTATCTTTCGGGATAATGTTATTATTTGAACTGGTAATTTTGTTGTGCAGGATGAGGCACGCACCATGTTGACATGCCGTCGGGTAGATTCTAGATTGTGGGAGCATCCGTTGGACCATAGAGTCTTGTAGTATCTATTACGCGCGGGATTCTATGGTGTGTATCGTATCGGGCACATTCGACTGGACCACGCACTTATCACTGCTCTCATTGAGAAGTGGCGCACAGCGACTCATACATTCCATTTCCCGATCGGGGAGGCCATCATCACGTTGCAGGACGTATCCGTCCTACATGGTCTTCGGATTGATGGCCGAGCAGTTACTGGAGTTGACTCTTCTCTCGCGACGGAGCAGTGGATAGCCCTATGTGCTGAGCTATTGGGAGTAGCACCTACAGCAGCAGATTTACAGCCAGGTAGAGTGAGGGTGAGGTGGCTGGCCGAGCACTTTGCTCATCTTCCAGATCATGCTCCAGATGAGTTGGTACAGCAGCATACCCGAGCATATATTATGTGGCTTATTGGGGGGTACTTCTCCCTGATAAGTCACAGAACCTAGTCAAGCTGATGTACTTGCCATTGCTGAGAGACATTGAGGAGATTGGGCAGTACAGCTGGGGTAGCGCGGCTCTGGCATGGTTGTATAGGATGCTATGTCGAGCAGCTCAGGTGGGTACGAGGGAGATTGGAGGACCACTTGTGTTGCTACAGGTTAGTAACAATTTTATTACATGTCAATTCATATTTATAGCCATATATCAGTATTGTAATTGTATTCAAACTATTGCAGATTTGGGCATGGGAGAGATTGATTCGCATTGCCCCGTCTAGGCGGTAACCGGTTGGTCCTGGTGAGCTTCCTATGGGTGAGGGGGACATGCAGTTGCCCACCGGACCGTGAGGTAGCCGGTGGAAGGTTGACATGGGCCACGAGGTCGTCTCGACCCACGTAATGATAGTTTATGGAGACCAGCTGGACCGGATGATCGAGGGCGAGGTATGAACTTTTTTTTATTGCGTTTTAGTTGTCTTCTTCATTGTATATGTTTTGAGTTCACGAGCAAAATTTAAATTATTTGTCGTCATTGTAGTTTATCTGGCAGCCTTACGCTGGGGTCTTCGATACGCTCCCCGACTACTGCCGACTAGGTCAGGAGATATGGATGGCGAGAGTGCCACTTATTTGTTTTAACGTGGTTGAGTGGCATCTCCCCCATCGTGTCCTCCGACAGTTTGGTCGGGTGCAGTCCGTGCCAGATCGGTTCGACACTAAGTGGCAGTTGCACGCCATTGATAGGCGTGGCCGAGCTGGCACTAATTGGTGTCTGTTTTATATGCGATATATACAGTTGTGGGATACCCGCCGGGACAGTATTGTACAGGCTGACTACAGCGATGAGGTGATCCCCTCTTCCGACCCTTACATGTTGTGGTATCGGCGACATACACACCTACTAGTTGGGAATCCGAGCCACGTGTCTGAGTCTGGATATCAGGGAGTTGGCCCTTATCTTGAGGCATTGGTGAGTATCATATTATGTGTCAGATAATTATTAAAATCATACTTGATTTACTTTCAGTGAACTGTAGCCTAATAATACGTCTGAATGTTTGTTCAGGTGGCTGGAGCTGGGAGGTCGTTTCATTTGGCTGAGGACACCCATTTGAGACGTGATGCACAGCATGCCTTGGAGGCCGTTGCAGAGATCCGGGAGTTATTGTACCAGGCATTCCAGCTTGCCCATCGGGGAGATCGTTTGCATTTCGGCCACTACGGTGTACACACTTCAGCAGCTGCTCCAGACACATCAGCGCCGTCCACGTCAGCGCCTTTCACTTCAGCGCCTGCCACATCAGCTCCTTCGACACTGCCTTCGACCCCACCACATACTACCCCATACATATCTACAGATTCCCTCGACGTACTTCTTACGCAGCATACTGGCATACCGTATGTGCCTGACCCTGATTGGACAACGCCTCGATACATGCATGACGTTGTTACCCCACCCACCCAGTTACCACCACCAGACAGTTCAACCGCGACCATGAGTACACATGATGCAGTTCTCACTGACATCTCCCACGTTGACGCTGAGGGCCATATTGAGCCCCCCCCAGAGCGTTTTGGTCGTGGCGGACGTCGCGGCAGAGGTCGGGGTGCGGGCAGAGGCAGAGGTCGAGCTCCAGCTGCAGATCCTGATACAGTTGCACCAGATGATGGAGTTTCACAGCTCACAGCAGTATCCGATCTTCCGCCACAGCCAGGATCAGGGGCAACACATGCAGTAGAGGGGGAGTCACAGTCACAGGCTCCACAAGAGCCAGATATTCAGAGAGTCTACCGCAGGAGACCGAGGAGAGAGGTCCACGGTCGGGGTTGTGGGACTGGGGGCAGGTTAGGGGATTAGCGGGTGTAATGTGGAGTGTATAGTTTATTTTATTTATAGTTTTTGTTATTGTTTTTGTATATCAAACTTGTACAGATGATGTAAATGTGTCATACTTATTTCTTCGAAAAATATAATTTCACAATTTTTTATTCTTACTTGTTTTGATGATTTCCATAAAAATGAAAACGAAAACAGGAAAAAAATGATAAGAATTGATAGGATTTTGTGATTAAATAAGAATTGTAAATGTGTCATACTTATTCTTACTTATTTATAGTTTTTGTTATAGTTTTTGTATATCAACAAAATAAATATCTAAACAAACACAAGTATTTCAACTATCAATCGATATGAACTCATACCTTGTTCATTAAGTATCATTATTATATTCCACATCAATAATGCATGAAATCATGAAAGTCTAGTTCAAGTAGCGTTCTTCAAAATAACAATAACGGAGAGAAAGTAAAGGTAGAATTACAATAAATATTCGAAAACAATTGAAATATCTCCCTTCATTGATAAGATAAGTCGTGGATAAGCATTAAAAATTGCATGCATTACAGAAATGGTTTGGGCGTTCATCCAAACAATTTCATTCATTATCATCATCATCTGACATCTCAATATCAGATTCATACATAACATCCATGCTCCAAGCGTAGTACTGGTGTGCATCATCCATTAACCCATCTTCGGCACGCTCATTTGAGGTCTTCATTAGTTCGGACCTTTGCAAACGTTGGGTCATGGTATGTATGAAATTATTGTAATCAACTATGCATCAGAGTTGTCACGTCAACTTTTATGACCTGAACAACTATCCATCAACTTGATAGGAGTTGTCACTTCGACTTTTATGAATTGCATAATTTATTGTTATTCCAAAACAAAAAGTAAAAACATAAAAAAAAAATAATAAAATAAGAACCAAGCTGATCAACCGACTAAACGTCTGAAGTAGTCAAATTTCTCTGCCTGAAATTTTTTTTAAAAAATAAATGTGAAATTACAATTTCAAAATCTTTAAAATATTTTTAAATTCTTTGAAATATTTATTCAGAAATTTGTTTTACTTTTTAGGTGTATTGACATATTTATTAATTTATTGTTATTTTGTTATAACACCCCCTCAAAATTTTAATAGATTGCATAATTCACAAGGGCACAGTACGTATGGTATGATAATAAATTGTAGCTCAGCGCGGTGATACGTCCAACATTTGTCAGTGATGCTCACCAATTACTTGAACCGGTGTAATAATTTGGATGCTTTGTTTTTTTCCTCAGATGCTATGTGACTTTGTGCAGCGATGCAGTGATGCATCTGACTTTGTGCAACGATGCATGTGACTTTGTGCTGTGATGCAGTGATGCATGTCGCTTTATGCAGTGATGCAGTAATGCATGTGACTTTTTGACTTTGCCATACTTATATAGTTTGTCACTT